AGTGAGTCATCCCGAGCTGGAACAGCAGGGAACTGGGTGGAGGGTTTGAAGGCAGGGGAGGGGCTGCAGCCAGTGGCTGTGGGGTGGGGTGGGGGAGAGACTGAACTAACCTTTTGGGTATCCAGTGAAGCTAGTTGAGGAGGGAGGCAAAAACCTGCTCCAATTCTTTCCCGCTGGGAGAGGCGGATTCGTTTACAATCCCTGGGTTGCTGTCCCAGTTCCCAAGCAGACAAGCAAAAGTCGGTCCGGCCCTTTGCAGGACAAGCCAAAAAGATGCTGGTTTCTCCCTGTTCTGTTTGCAAAGGTCTCCAGTATCTGGTTGGGATAACGCTGAGCGAGTGTCTCCAAAAAGATGATGCATTAGCATTAAAAAAAAAAAGGGGGGGGATGTTCGTTGATTTAAGGATGCAGGAATTCAAATCTAGAAGTCCTCTGGGTCAAACTAACCGAAGCGGCCCCCAAAGGGCACGGCTAGATTTTTGAGTTCAAGGTTCCCTGCCTTGGATGTCACACTGGCTGACCTTAACAAGCTCACTGGGAATGGATCGGGATACAACCCGGATGGGAGACCACAAGGAAATACTAGGGGGCTGTAGGCTAGCTCAAAGAGAGATACAGTTGCATGGATAATAATAATAATAATAACAATAATAGTAGTAGTAGTAAAGTTGGAAGGGACCTTAGAGGTCATCTAGTCCAACCCCCTGGACTAGATGGGATTCAGCCCTAAAGGGATTCAGCCCTAAAGACATCCAGCTGTGGAGTTTGGGTCTCCTGTTTGAGCCGGGCTAGAAGACCACCCAAGGTCTGTTCCAGCTCTGTTCTGATTGATTGATTGATTGATTGATTGATTGATTGGATTCTTTAGCATTGTGTAAAGATGGTAGATTTCTGCCCTGGGGAGGGTTGGAATTGGGTTTTGAATAGCAGGCCAGGCAAAGGGGAGAAAAAAAAAAAAAGAAAGAATGCGATATTTCTTGCCGAGGGTCTGGGAACCGGTTCAGGGCCTGGGCGTGGGCGCTCTCCCTCTTCCCCCCTCCCCAAATCTGGCTTGGGAAAGGAAGGAGAGGCCCCTCGGGTGAACTCTGGGCTCCTTCCCAGTATGGCATTTCGGTTCTCAGGCCCTGGAATTTGTCCCTCGTGCCTCAAGGGTTAACGCGGCTCCCAGGCCAGGAGATTCTTTTATTTATTAAAGGACCCCAGGCCTCTCCCGTCCTCCGAAGCCCATTTTACGACCTGTGAGGCCACAACTCCCAGAATTCCTGAGCCCCAACTTTGTGACCTGTGGGACTACAACTCCCAGAATCCCTGAGCCCCAACTTTGCGACATGTGGGACTACAACTCCCAGAATTCCTGAGCCCCACCTTTGCGACTTATGGGACTACAACTCCCAGAATTCCTGAGCCCCAACTTTATGAGCTGTGGGACTACAACTCCCAGAATTCCTGAGCCCCACCTTTGCGACCTATGGGACTACAACTCCCAGAATTCCTGAGCCCCAACTTTATGAGCTGTGGGACTACAACACCCAGAGTTCCGAAGCCTTCTTCCTTCCCTTCTTCCCTTCTTCCTTTCTTCTTACTTGTTCCTTCCTTCCTTCCTCCCTCCCTCCCTCCAGTCTTGTTCTTCCTTCCTTCCATCCATCCATCCATCCATCCATCCATCCATCCATTGCTCCCTCCCGCCCTTCTTGTCCTTCCTTCCTTCCTTCCTTCCTTCCTTCCTTCCTTCCTTCTCCTTCTCCCTTTTCTCTTTCTTCTTTTCCTCCTTCATTCTTTCCTCCCTCCCTCCCTCCCTTCTTGTCCTTCCTTCTTCCCTCCCTCTCCTTTTCTCTTTCTTCTTTTCCTTCTTCCTTCTTTCCTTCCTTTCTCCCTCCCTCCCTCCCTTCCTCCTTCCCTCCCTCCCAATACTTTTGCCCCACTGGCAATAACAGCAGACGCTGACTTCTCATTGCTCCCACTGGACTCTGGCCCCGTCTCACCTCGCCCACTTAGTTGTAGATATCTCTGCAGTTGACGATGTTGACAAACTAGCTAATTACATTATACAGGAGAATTTTTAAAAGAAGATTAATGGAGAAAGACAGGTAAGCAGAGAGCAGGGATGACCACAAGAGAGGTCAAGACATTAAGACGGCACTGTGACTGCAGAATTGGAACTCACCTGCTTATTTCTCCATTGTGTTGCATATAAAATGCACACTGACAAGGACTTCAGTCGCATGGCGGCTGGGGAATTCTGGGAGTTGAAGTCTGCGCCGCTTCAAGTTGCCACAGTTGAGAAACACTGATCTAGATAGACAGATTACACAGTAACCAAGAAACTTAACTCCATAAACCTAAGTTTGCACCATGCTGCAAATATTCCAGATGACCTGTAGGTGGCAGCCAAGAGTCAAGGATTCTGCATCTCTACGCTGCCCTCTGATGGCCATCCAAAACTTTGCAGCTCCAATTTGGGATTTCTGCCAAGAATCTCTTTGTGAATCTGACTCTGTGTTCTGTCCAGGCCCATCCAGCATCTATGTGGGGTGCCAGGCCACACCTGAGCCATTATTAGGTGGGCAGGGCTGGCATAATCCAGCTGAGGATCGAGAAGCATGTATAGTTGCAGCCAACCAGATCGGAATGCCACTCTTCCCGCCAGCTGCCTCAGATTGGTACATTCCAAAATAAGAACCAGTTTGTGTAGTGGTGAAGGTGTCAATCTAAAAACCAGTGGGCCATATATTCTAGTCCCTGTTTAGGCACAAAGCCATCTAGGTGAGTTTGGGCCAGTCATTCTCTCTCGGCCCTAGGAAGGAGGCAATGGCAACCCACTTCCAAACAACCTTGCCAAAAAAACCTGCAAGACACTAGGTCTGACAACTGCCAGACGATTATATGTAGCTCAAGGTTAAAATGTGGAATCCTTAGTGCTCTCTGAGCTTGGTTGTTTCTTTGCAGATGTTTCAATACACAACGAAATAGCATCAGCGCTCCCTATTTATTTAGTAGCTTGTCCTGACAATGTGGGTGTGTGTGTGGTTTTCTTCCTGGTAGTTCCTTGATTAAAGCATTGTTTTCTGCTAGATGGTTTGTCTGGTATTAATCCCCGTTTATTTGGGGGCTGATTGCTGAAAAGGATGCCTTGTTTCCTTCTTAGCTTTTTTATTGTCTCTTTTGAATGGTGTGCAAATATGGTTTATCTCTCTTGGTCGTTGGTGGCTGATTAGTCTGAGCTTCCAGGAATTGCCTAGCGTTTTTGGGGGGCTAGCTTGTTTTAGGATGCTCACACTTTCCCAGTTGAAAATAGAGTTGAGTCTATCCATGTGTTGTGAGATTAAGAAGTTTTCATCCTATCTTCTGACTGGTCGTTGGTGTTCATGGAGGCCCACTGCTAGTCTTCTGCCTTTCTGTCCTGTCGCTGTCCTTACACTGTATGTTGTAGTTCAGTGGTCCCCAGCTTGGCGGCCGGCTGGGGTGGGGAGAGGGGAACTGGGTGATGCAAGCAACAGGCCAGCACTCGTGCACATGCAGCTCAACTTGCATGAGCAGCAGGCCAGCACACATGTGCCTGCACATGCAGCTTGACTGCAAGTAGAGTTGCACGTGCATGCTCATGCGTGCCAGCCCACCACTCGTGTGAGTTGAGCTGCATGCATATGAATTGAGCTGCTCGCATGCAAGTTGAGCTGCACAGTTCTGAATAGGCCATGGCCCAGGTCTTGTGGAAAATGAAAGGACTCTTACGAATTCTAGAGGGTTTTAGCAGAGAGATTTATTGCGCAGGTTCAGAAGCAATAGCAACAAGCAATTCTGAACCCTGAAGGCGGGTTCAGACTTCAGTTTTATACTTTCCTTTTCTGAGGAACAAAGAAATACACATTGAAATACACATTGTAATACATTAGGTTCATTTCTCACTGGTATACAATGGAGAGTTTGCTACATACATTGTATCCAAGTCCAATGGGCATTAGGTTAGTCACATACTACTAACACAGCATTATTCCAGTAATTATGCAGACACAATCATTATTCTAGTGATTGTTCATTATTCCACATTACAGGGAGTTGTGGACCCTGTTGTAGATGACTCCTGTTTTTTCTTCTGGGGCTGCTGGCTTTTTTGGTTTACTTAAATTGTTTTGGAAGGGTTACAATGTGTGTTACGATGATATTGTATGGTTATAATGATCTGTTAGAAATTTCTGAGATGTTTTTGATATATGTCTTGTGTTGGTTGTCCTGTATTGGGTTGAGTGGTTAAGCACTTTTCATTAAAGTCACGTGGCTTTCCGTTTTGTGGCGCAGGTGCTCTATTTCCTTTTTCTGGGTTTCCACAGTGCGTTTGACCACAACTAAAACCAGCAACTCGGTCCCTAAGCAAAACCACTGCCGTGCTTACAGTCTTACTTCAGCTTTCCTTTTCTTTACACACCTGCAAAAGACATAACATGCAAGTAATGTGGAATAATGAACAATCACTAGAATAATGATGTGTCTGCATAATTACTGGAATAGTGCTGTGTTAGTAGTATGTGACTAACCTAATGCGCATTGCACTTGGATACAATGTGTGTAGCAAACTCTCCATTGTATACCCGTGAGAATCGAACCTAATGTATTACAATGTGTATTTCAATGTGTATTCCTTTGTTCCTGAGAAAAAGAAAGTATAAAACTGAAGTCTGAACCTGCCCTCGGGGTTCAGAATTGCTTGTTGCTATGGCTTCGGAACCTGCACAATAAATCTCTCTGCTAAAACCCTCTGGAATTCGTAAGAGTCCTTTTGTTTTCCACAAGACTGGTTGCAAAGTTACTTCTTCATCACCATCGTAACTGTGAACGGTCCCTAAACGAGACAGGTGCTAAGTGAGGATGACTTGTATAGGCAAATCCTCCGGATCGAGTTGACCTGCAGATCTGAGAGCTAAATTCCTGGTTGCTGTTGCGATGTGGTGCTGCCCTTTTCTCCTAATTTGAGGATTTCAACCTATTCTCTTTTTCCCTCCTAGCTGGATACTTCCAAGAAAGTCCTTCAAACTTGACCTTGTCTTTGGGGAAGGACGTAAAACTCTCCTGCTCCATCCTGGCCCTGGGCGAGGCACCGGAGATCAACTGGCTGAGGGATGGAGAGGCCTTCGAATTTGCTGATATTAACCAGATGCAGGTGCCTTTGGAAGAGGGAGAATGGGAGACAACCAGCGAACTGAGGTGAGCCTCCAGAGAGCTTGGCTGGCAGGGTTAATGGGCCAGACTGTCTGTTTGTTCCCCACATTTATTATTTTTACAAATAATTCAAGGTAGCAGACATAGCCAAAACATCTTCCTCCTCCTATTGTTCCTACAACGACAACCCTGTGAGGTGGGTTGGCTGAGAGAGAGAGAGGGAGAGAGAGAGGAGAGGGAGAGAGAGGGGGAGAGAGGGAGGGAGGGAGGGAGAGGGAGAGAGGAGAGGGAGAGAGAGGAGAGAGAGAGAGGGAAAGAGAGAGAGAGAGAGAGAGAGAGAGAGAGAGAGAGAGAGAGAGAGAGAGAGAGAGAGAGAGAGACCGGCCCAAAGTCACCCAGTTGACGTTATGCCTATGGCAGGACTAGAACTCACAGTCTTCTGATGATTGTCCCAAAGTCACTTAGCCAGCTTTGATGCCTGTGGTGGGATTAGAACTCACAGTCTCCTGATGATTGGCCCACCCAACCAGCTTACTTGCCTAAGGCGGGACTAGAACTCACAGTCTCCTAGTGATTGGCCCAAAGTGACCCAGGCTGGCTTTCGTGTCTAAGGCAGGACTAGAATTCACCATCTCCTGGTGATTGGCCCAAAGTCACCAAGCTGGCTTTCGTGCCTAAAGCAGGATTAGAACTCACATCTCCCATTTACTAGCCTGCTGCCTTCTCCCCTAGACCAAACCGGCTCCCATCTGATCCAATGGGAGCCAGTTGACCAATACCTTGAAAACTCTGTACAGAAGACCGTTCTCCCTGTGGATGCGGCACCTAGCTCTTATCCGATTGGCTTGGTTTATGTTCAGCGTATTATATGGTTTGCCAACTAAGGTTTAGGTCTTGGTTCCCTGTGTGAATGTAAACACTGCTAGTTCTTTCAGAATAAATACTTCAGCACAAGGCAGGTTCTCCAAAGCGATCAGTATCAACCCCCCCCCAAGGTATGATGGGACGATCCAAAGGGTTGATCGATGTTTGGGGTGGGGTCAAAAGGGGCTCAATAAATGACTGGGGATCAATAGGTGATTAATCAATGGGGGCTAGTGGAAGATCAGAAGATGTAGAGGGATCTGGCCCAATAAAAGGCCAAGCGCGACTGAACGGATAACATCATCAATCAATAATGGAAGATCAATTGAGGTCAATTAATTCCTTGGCATCTCTGTTGAGCCCACGCCGGTCCCTAATTTTGAAGGTGAGGTGGCCAGCAAGGAGACTGTGTAACCAAGGATAGGACGGTCAGCTGCTAGCAAGAGTGACCTTGAAGTCTCTATGATTATCATGGTGCTATAATCAGCCAGATGTTTCGGCTGGATTTGGCATTGTTGTCCACCTATGAAGTCCTTCCCAAGGACCTGGGGCAGGCAGGGGTTGTTATTTAGTGGTTTTAAAAGTTATTATCCGAGGATGTGAGTTGTTCTGAGTAGAGCTGCCCTTTTGCAAATTTTTGATGGTCAATTTGTCAAGGCAGATGTGCTCCAGATGTTTTGGGATGGCCCCCAAGGTGCCTATGACCAATGGGGCTGCTTTTGCTTTCTTTTGCCACAGTCGTTCTATTTCCGTTTGCAGGTTTTTGCATTTCATGATTTTTCTCCAGGTCTTTCTGCCCTTTTCAGGCAAGGCCGCATCCGTAATCCAGACTTTTTTTTTGGTCTTTCTTCTGAACAATTGTTAAGTTTGAGGGGTTGCGTGGCAGGGCCTGTCTGCCTGAATTCTAAAGTCCCATTATTATTACTCGTAGCACTATTCGCTAAAATAGTACAGGTAATCCTCGGCTAACAACCATGACAGAGCCCAAAATTTCTGTCACTAAGCAAGTCAGCTGTTAAGTGGAACAGCTGGCCTCCAGAAATTGTGAGTCCTCCATTACTGGAGATTTTTAAGAGGCTAGCCCAGGGGTAGGCAACCTTGGCCCTTTTATGACTCGTGGACTTCCAACTCCCAGAATTCCTGAGCCAGCATGGCTCAGCATGGAAAGCTCTCCCTTTCCCCTCAGCGTGGCTGGCTCAGGAATTCTGGGAGTTGAAGTCCACCAGTCATAAAAGAGCCAAAGTTGCCTACCTCTGGCCTAACCTCATCCCTCAGGACAGGGTGGGAACTATGGCAACTTTATGACTCGTGGACTTCAACTCCCAGAATTCCTGAGCCAGCCATGCTGAGGGGAAAGGAAGAGGTTTCAAGCTGAGCCAGGCTGGCTCAGGAATTCTGGGAGTTGAAGTCCACCAGTCATAAAAGAGCCAAGGTGGCCTACCCCTGGCCTAGGCCTGTATTTCTCAACCTTGGCCACTCGGAGATGGGTGGACTTCAATTCCCAGAATACCTCAGCCAGCATGGCTCAGAATGGAAACCTCTCCCTTTCCCCTCAGCGTGGCTGGCTCAGGAATTCTGGGAGTTGAAGTCCACCAGTCATAAAAGAGCCAAGGTTGCTTACCCCTGGCCTAGACTTAGTGTTTCTCATCCTTGGCCACTTGACGATGGGAGGACTTCAACTCCCAGAATTCCTGAGCCAGCCATGTTGTGATAAACAGCCGGGGGCGGGAGGGGGGGGAAAACAGCTTTTGCTGAAGGAAACAAAAATTGTTTTAAGGAACTTCCTGTGAGGCGAACCTTCCAAGCAAGCAGAATCAATTCTGTGTTTTTCTCTGCTGACCTTGCAAAAGGGGAAAAGGGGCAGGGAATCATCCTGAGGAAGCAAACAAAAGAGGAAAGAATCCCGATTTTAAATGAGTAAAAGTTCCTGACCTTTTCTTGATGATAAAGGCTAACCCACCCACCCACCACCCCAAAACAAACCTTGAAAACTTTCCCTAAGTAGCTGTTTCCGGTTGCATCAGACTGCGATTCCCTTGTCTTTCACAGGCTTTGTCCAAGCCCTTGCAAGTTGGCGGCAGCTGTGGCGAGGGGCAAGGGAGGTCAAAAAAGTCAAAATGGCACCCCATCAAGGCAATCAAAAGGTGTCCCCCCTTTTTTTCTTCCCAAATGCACCACAGCTGCTTTGTTTAAAGAGTGGCTTGGTCTCTGGGGATGTTAAACCTTGGAATTATTTTTTCCTCCTTTCAGCTAAAATTATTTTTGACCCTCCGGATCCGGCCCGGGGGGGGGGAGTTGGGGACCACTTTTAAGTGGTCAGAAAAAGACCGTGGCAAATCTCATTCCCTTGAAGCCGTGGGGTGGAGACCCTGCGTGCTGAGGCTTGGCCAAAGCCAGGAAGATCCTTAATCAGCGCACAGACCTTGACTTACGACCGTTCGTTTAGCGACTGGAGTTCAAAGTTACAACGGCGCTGAAAAAAAGTGACATGACCGTTTTTCACACTTACGACCCGTCGTAGCATCCCCGTGGTCACGCGATCCAAATTCGGATGCTTGGAAACTGCTTCATATTTATGACGGTCATACTGTCCCAGAGTCACATGATCCCCTTTTGCGACTTTCTGATGAGCAAGGGAATTCTGGAAGTTGTAGTTCACATATGCTGTCCAGGGAATTCTGGGAGCTGTAGTTCACATATGCTGGCTGGGTGAATTGTGGGAGTTGGTCCACATACTGTCCATTCCACATACTGCCCATTCCCTGTCCAGGGAATTCTGGGAGTTGCAGTTCACTTACGCTGTCCAGGGAATTCTGGGAGTTGCAGTTCACATATGCTGTCCAGGGAATTCTGGGAGTTGCAGTTCACATATGCTGGCTGGGGAATTCTGGGAGCTGAAGTCCACATACGTTGTCTAGGGAATTCTGGGAGCTGAAGACCACATATGTTGTCTAGGGAATTCTGGGAGTTGTAGTTCACATATGCTGTCCAGGGAATTCTGGGAGTTGCAGTTCACATATGCTGGCTGGGTGAATTCTGGGAGCTGAAATCCACGCATCTTAAAGTTGCTGAGCTTGAGAAACACTGCTTTAAGTTTGATAAACCAGCCCAGCACGCATCACTCCTCGTGGACAACGCAACCTATGCTCAAAGCCGCTTTGCTGATCAATCTCCTTGTCTCTTTCACTCTCCCATCTTCCCCTCCTCTCTCCAGCATCTCTTCCCTCCAGGTTTCTGACATGGGAAATTACCAGTGTGTGGCCTGGGTGAACGGATCTGAAATTGTTTCCGAAGGAGCTTATCTGAAGTTAGAAGGTAAATGTAATATTTGAGGGGGGGGAAGTCCCCTGCAGAGACCTGGGGGAGGCACAGCCATGCTGCAAAAATTGGGAATCTGCTGGCCTTAAGGAGCAACCAGAATAAATGCTCAGAGGTTTAATTCCCTTTAAATGATTGCTTTTTTTTTTACAAATATCATCCATTACTCTGGGACTTTGTTGTCTAACAGGGCTCCCAGGTTGAGAGAAATTATCTCAGCAGTGAGTGTCAAGCTTGGGGACTTGAAGATGGGTGGACTTCAATTCCCAGAATTCCCCAGCCAGCTTTGCTGGCTGGGGAATTCTGGGAGTTGAAGTCCACCCATCTTCAAGTCCCCAAGCTTGACAATCACTGATTTGATTCCTTCAGAGGACTAAGCCAAGATCCGCTTGTTTTGGATATTGTTGACCACGCCATCCTGGTTTGGCTCACCCCCCCAAGCTAAGCCATTTATCTTTGTCTCGTGTGAACCATCCCATCATGGCTTACCGTTGCCATCAGGGCTTATTCAACCAAGAGTGGTGTAGCACCGCTTGTGAACCCAGCCAATCCTGGGCTCGTTTGCTCAAGCTGTTTCTTCTCTCTTGTGGCCAGGTCTCCCCCTCTTCTCCGAGGAGCCCCAAGATCTGGAGATCACAGCCGATACCCCGTTCAACCTCAGCTGCAGAGCGCAGGGACCCCCAGATCCTGTCTTGGTGATCTGGTTGCAGGACAGCGTTCCCGTTAACTCGCTGGCGGATCCCCTGGCCCAGACCCCGTCCGTCTTGGGGGTGAGAGGTGAGTCAGCTCAGGCCATGCCCGCTTCTTCTGATCACAAAATGACACCTTTCAAAAGGCGGCAGCTGCCAGGGTGGGGTTAAGGTTTCACCCAGGACAGCTGAGACGAGGGTTTTCGGAGTGTGTGACAAATTACAGCTGTAGCTTCAAGGTTGGTATCTGAATGGAGACAAATGGCTTGTTAACAGTTCTTCTGAATTCTCTTCCCCTTCTCTCCTTCCTTCCTTCCTTCCTTCCTTCCTTCCTTCCTTCCTTCCTTCCTTCCTTCCTTCCTTCCTTCCTCCTCTCCTCCCTTTCTCCCTCCCTCCTCCTTCTCCTTCTCCTTCTCCTTTCCTCCCTCCCTTCCTTCCTTCCTTCCTTCCTTCCTTCCTTCCTTCTCTCCTCCCTTCCTCCCTCCCCCTTCCACTTCCCTTCTCCTTCCTTCCTCCTCTCTTCTCTCTCTCTCTCCCCTTCTCTTCTCCTTCCTTCCTTCCTTCCTTCCTTCCTTCCTTCCTTCCTTCCTTCCTCCTCTCCTCCCTTTCTCCCTCCCTCCTCCTTCTCCTTCTCCTTCTCCTTTCCTTCCTTCCTTCCTTCCTTCCTTCCTTCCTTCCTTCCTTCCTTCCTTCCTTCCTTCCTTCTTTCCTTCCTTCCTTCTATCCTCCCTTTCTCCTTCCTTCCTTCCTTCCTTCCTTCTCTCCTCCCTTCCTCCCTCCCCCTTCCACTTCCCTTCTCCTTCCTTCCTCCTCTCTTCTCTCTCTCTCTCCCCTTCTCTTCTCCTTCCTTCCTTCCTTCCTTCCTTCCTCCTCTCCTCCCTTTCTCCCTCCCTCCTCCTTCTCCTTCTTCCTTCCTTCCTTCCTTCCTTCCTTCCTTCCTTCTTTCCTTCCTTCCTTCATTCTATCCTCCCTTCCTTCCCTCCTTCCTTCCTTCCTCTCTCCCTTCCTCCCTCCCCCTTCCACTTCCCTTCTCCTTCCTTCCTTCCTCCTCTCTTCTCTCTCTCTCTCCCCTTCTCTTCTCCTTCCTTTCTTCCTTCCTTCCTTCCTTCCTTCCTTCCTTCCTTCCTTCCTCCTCTCCTCCCTTTCTCCCTCCCTCCTCCTTCTCCTTCTCCTTTCCTTTCTTCCTTCCTTCCTTCCTTCCTTCATTCCTTCCTTCCTTCCTCCCTCCCTCCCTCCTGCTCCGCCCTTGTCCTTCCTTCCTCCTTCCCTCCGTCCCTCCCTCCCTCTTCCCTTCCCTTCCCTCCCCTTCCCTTCCCCCTACCCACCTACTTACACCTCTGCAGATTAACAGGAAGCTTGGCAGGCCACAAAGACAAGCCAAGACTATACACTCTCTTTCTGACTGGTTCCCCTAACCATGGTTTTAAACAGTCACGACTCAGGACAGGGTGTGAATCCCACTGCTCCCTTGAGGGTCCTGGCTTTGAATCCCTCCCTAACCTGGCTGGGTTCCCGGGCGCCCAGGGACGTTGACGCCTCCCACCCCCCACCCCAAACGTGGCTGCATGTTTGGGGGCTTTTGTGTGTTGTCTGAACACCGTCAATGGCCATTTAGTGTCTTCAACAAACACGACGAACCCCCTGGTGGTGGGCCACTTCGCTCAATAGTCTATTCTTTGCGGGTTTCATTTCATTTTGCTCCAGACTCCAGGGTTGAAAATAGCTGTGGGGCTGAAAGGAGGAGGAATGATGGTTCCAAAGAGGGCCTTTTTCATAGCCCCCCCCCCCCGGCTTTCAGCATCTGCTTTTTTCATATCTGGCCAGCGAAGCCGTAAAAAGTAGCCTTTTCTTTGGCGCTGGGTTGCATTGGCTGCAAAGAGGGGGACTCGGATTTCCCACCAGCGAGAAGACGCAGCCGAAAGGGGTCTCGGTGGTGCGTGCGAGACCCCTTTCCTCTCCCCGCCATTCAGCCTCGTCCAGGGGCCCCCCGGTTGCACGTCCTTGTTCATTGTCTTCTCCCCTCCCCTCCTCTTAATATCTGGCTTGTCCCCAATTCGCAAGGTCCTTTGTCGTCTTTTCTATGGAGAGGGGACGATTCCCCATGGCTCAGCCAGGGAGGGGTTCGCTCCAAGCGTGGGAACCGCCTGGGCCAAGGTTACCAAAGACTGTTTGGGCAATTGGCAGGCAGTGGGGCCGGGGTTTATCTGCCTGCCCTGGGCGAAAGAGACGGGAAGCGAAAGAACAACAGTGCAGATAGGCCCAGCTGTCTTGGACCTGCACCCGAAGGCAGGACAAGTAGTGAGGGATGGAAACTAGAACTGAGAACTAAGAAAAAACTTCCTGACAGTTAGAACAATTAACCAGTGGAACCACCTGCCTCCAGAAGCGGTGAATGCTCCAACACTGGAAGTTTTCAAGAAGAGACTGGACAACCATTTGTCTGAAATGGTATAAGGGTTTCCTGTCTGAACAGGGGGTTAGACTAGATGACTTCCAAGTTCCCTTCCGTCATCATCATCATCATCATTATCATTATTATTATGGATCATTGCACAGTCAGTCAGATGTTCAGACTGGATTTGGCATTTTGTCTACCTATCGAGTCCTTACCCAGGACCTGGGATAGGCAGATGTGGATGTTTGATGGTATTATAGATCTTGTCGCAGGATGGAAGCAGTTCCTAGTAAGGCCGCCTTTTGCAATTGACTAATGGCGAATTTGTCAATGCCAATGGCGTTCAAGTGGTGCTCCAGTTGTTTTGGGATTGCACCCAAGGCGCCTATGACTATTGGTGCTACCCTTGCTTGCCTTTGCCACAGTCTTTCTATTTCTATTTGTAGGTCTTTGTATTGTGTTATCTTCTCCAGTTAACGAAATATGACATCAATAATAATAATAATTACTATTACTATTATTATTGATGTTACCTAGTTTAGTTATGAAACATCTGCAAGAAAACCACCATGATCAGAGAGTGCTTCACTTGGTACTGCTGGATTCCTTTCCTTGTCCAGAGGTTAAATGACCAAGTCCCTTCCCCCCCCCCCATTTCCCAGCTGATGCCCTTTGCCTTGAAAGCAAGTTGCTAATAAAACTGATGAGTTCTTGGTTTTGACCACAACTCCTGGCCTTTCTTGATGACTGGGCAATTGTAGGAAGCTCCAAGCAGATGCCTGGACAACAAGAAACAGCCCTGGAGGATGGTTGCGGTTGGGGAACGTTCCTAGTTTCCCTGGCTCCTCTGGACCCTCTTTGTAGTCCCTAAATGGTCTTTGTAGTCGTAAGAAGCCTTGTCAAACCGTAGCCTTTGAGTGTTTAGGCTCCAGACAAAGGCCCATTGACATTAATAGGGTTGCGTGCCTTGGACCGAGCAATTACTCCTCTGAGTAGTAATTTCAGTCTGAAGCTGAGAGGGTTGAGTCTACAGTACTGCTGTGTCCCTTCTGAGTAACAACAAAAATGCCAACTCTCTTTCAAATGAAATTCCACCCTTGGGAATGCCGTGACTATGGGCCGTGATGTTTTCTTGGAAATGTAACAAAAAGAGGTTTGCCTGTTATTTTCTCCCAAGATGCTTTTTGCAATTTATAGTCTGGGTCTGCCGTCCTGGGATTCCCTGCAACAGCCCTTGAAGGTAGGCCCAGTCAAGAAGTAGACCCTGTAAAGGTTCCAGGAATGTTACCTTATTGTTATAAGGAAGTATTAGTTAAATGGCAGCTGAGGAATTCTGGGAGCTGAAGCCCATTCATGTTAAATGACGGCTGAGGAATTCTGGGAGCTGAAGCCCACTCATGTTAAAGTTAAATGGCAGCTGAGGAATTCTGGGAGTTGAAGCCCATTCATGTTAAAGTTAAATGACGGCTGAGGAATTCTGGGAGCTGAAGCCCATTCATGTTAAATGACGGCTAAGGAATTCTGGGAGCTGAAGCCCACTCATGTTAAAGTTAAATGGCAGCTGAGGAATTCTGGGAGCTGAAGCCCACTCATGTTAAAGTTAAACGGCAGCTGAGGAATTCTGGGAGCTGAAGCCCACTCATGTTAAAGTTAAATGGCAGCTGAGGAATTCTGGGAGTTGAAGTCCACTCATGTTAAAGTTAAATGGCAGCTGAGGAATTCTGGGAGCTGAAGCCCATTCATGTTAAAGTTAAATGGCAGCCGAGGAATTCTGGGAGTTGAAGTCCACTCATGTTAAAGTTAAATGGGAGCTGAGGAATTCTGGGAGTTGAAGTCCACTCATGTTAAAGTTAAATGGGAGCTGGGGAATTCTGGGAACTGAAGTCCACTCATCTTCAAGTTTTAGGATGGCTGAGGAATTATGGGAGCTGAAGCTCACTCATGTTAAAGTTATATGATGGCTGGGGAATTCTGGGAGTTGAAGTCCACTCGTAAGTCATGTCCATTTTTTCCATGCTGTTGTCAACGCAGGGTTGTAAGTTGAGGACGTCATGTACATTCCGACACAGATGCACCTGTGCACAGACACACCTGGTCGCACATCGACACAAACATACACTGATGGGAGCCTGAATGTTCTTTAAAGCAGAACCAGAAGAGGAGAGACTCAGCCTGATTATAAAAATGCCCCTCCCTCGTGCTAGTCAGACAGGTTTTCGAAAAAGCTTTTGAAACTCATCCCAAAGTAGATAATAAAACGAAATTCCCTGAAATAAATCTTCCCAGCCTCGTCAGACTAGTTGGGCCAGAGGCAACCGAGGGACAAAGCGAGACAGGTTCTGTTTATGCCAAGAGAAAACACAAACGCAGCAATTTGGCAGACGTAAGTTCAGCTGGCTTGCAGGAGGCCCTGCTGGCATCGTGGCCACCCAGGTGGTCTTCCTAGTGTCCCCTTTCTCTCATTGTCTCCCCCTTCCCCAGAGCTGAGCTCAGCCAAGCTTCTCAGTCTGGCAAAGTGGGGGCTGAAGACAGGATAATAAAGCTGGAAGGGATCTTGGAGGTCTTCTAGTCCAATCAGGAGATCCTCTACCATTTCAAGCAAATGCCTATCCAATCTCTTCTTAAAAATGTCCAGTGTTGGATCATTTACAACTTCTGGAGGCAGGTTGTTCCACTGGTTAATTGTTCTCACTGTTAGGTAGTTTCTCCTTAATTCCAGGTTGCTTCTCCTCTTGATTAGTTTCCATCCCTTGCTTCTTGTCCTGCCTTCAGGGGCTTTGAAGAATAGGTTGACAACCCCCCCCCCCAAGCAATGTTTAATTAAGATCCCATGTTCTTGCACTGCCTGCAGGCACGCGTGGATGGTGGGTATCTGCCTGGCCCCGCTCCATATGTCTGCGTTCCTTCAGCAACTCATCCCGTCCAATAAACTAATCTTCGTTCTGTTTGGTGCTGAGTCAAAGGCAGAGAATGTTGGTCTGGAGGTGACAGGCTGGTGATTCAAGCTTTGGAATCAAAGCCCGTAGGAATACCGGGAAGGAGGGGTGTGGTGGTGGTGGGGGGCAATCTGGCCTCTTCCAAACGAGGCTTAAAGCACAGCAAAAGGAGGTGGAAGATGTGTGGCATACTTCCGGTCCTGCCTTTGCTTTAAAACTGGTTAAGGTGGGTTTTTTGTGTGTGCTTGTTTCTGTGTGTGGTTCCTGAGTGGAGATTCCTGGGGGTTGAATTCCGCCCATCTGGCGGGCTCCAGCTTGAAGAAGGCTGGTCTTCAGGATGGGTGGAGGGATAGCAGAAAGAAGGGGTTAGCATCTTGGACCATCGATTGCTTCAGAAGCTTTGGAAAATAGCTTGATCCTCCCTCTTCTTTGGGGCAGCCCCTGAGATACTGGAAGACTACTATCACGTCCCCCCCTCATCCTTCTCTTCATCAGACTAGACATCCCCAATTCCAGCAACCGTTCCTTATATGTTTTAGCCTCCAGCCCCCTGATCATCTTTGTTGCTCTTCTCTGCACTCTTTCTAGAGTCTCAACCTCTTTTTTTACATCGTGGTGACCAAAACTGGATGCCGTATTCCAAGTGTGGCCTTACCAAGGCCTTGTAAAGTGGTATTAACACTTCACGTGATCTTGATTCTATCCCTCTGTTAATGCAGCCTAGCACTGTGTTGGCTTTTCTGGCTGCTGCCGCACACGGCTGACTCATGTTTAAGGATCCTCCAAGATCCTTCTTGCAGTTACTGCTACTGAGCCAGTTTTCACCTAATTTGTACCTGTACCTTTGGCTTTTCTTGCCTACTACTCCCATAAGTAGTGGGGCAAAGAACTGGAAATGGACAGGATAAAAAAAAAACATTTTTGAATCTCCTGTATAGAATAGAATAGAGCTGGAAGAGACCTTGGAGGTCTTCTAGTCCAGCCCCCTGCTCAAGCAGGAGAACCTATACCATCTCAGACAAGTGACTGTCTAGTCCAGTGTTTCTCAACCTTGACAATTTTAAGGCAATGCTGGCTGTGGAATTCTGGGAGTTGAAGTCCACATGCCTTAAAATTGTCAAGGTTGAGAAACACTGGTCTACTTAAAAATCTCCAGTGCTAGAGCACCCACTATTTCTGGAGGCAGGTTGTTCCACTGGTTAATTGTTCCAATGGTCAGAAAATTTCTCTTTTAGTTCTAGGTTGCTTCTCTCCTTGATTAGTTCCCATCTGTTGCTTCTTGTCCTGTCTTCAGGGGCTTTGGAGAATAGGTTGATGCCCTCTTCTTTATGGCAGCCCCTCAGATACTGAAACACTGCTATCATGTCTCCTCTATTTCTTCTTTTCTTGAGGCTAGCCAAACCCCAAGTCCTGCAGCTGTTCTTCGTATGTTTTAGTCTCCAGACCTTTGATTATCTTAGTTGCTCTTCTCTGAAATCTGGACATCTGTCTCTGCCGGCTGCTGGGAATATTTGCCTCTGGCTGACTCATTCTTTGCAGAAATGATGTGGTCAGAAAGTGGTATAAGCCGCGGTGGATGGACTAGACATGTTAATCTGACGAGTCCTTTCCTGTTTTCAGCCCTTGTGGCATTTGGTTCTCTCCCAGCGCGCATGGCACTCAATTATGTGCCCCCTGCCTTGTTTCCTCTCTGCCTGCTGTTTGTCCAGGTGGCTGCCAGTGCCCACTGGTTTGACCCAGCCCCTTGCAGGAACGGTATGATCAGGACAAGAACATCCATTGTGGGGCTGCTTATTGTTAAATCTGGGCTAAATTCCAACACACACAACAGCATATTCAAAGACTTGGCTGCTGTGGGGAAACCTCAACCCGGAGTGTCCAACCTTGGCGAGTTTAAAACGTGTGGACTTCGACTCCCAGAATTCCCCAGCCAGCTGTTAAGTGAATTGCTACAGTTGTTAATAACAAAGTTGTTGTAGGAGAGGATCCGGCTAAGCCCGAGGGAGGGGTGTGTGTCAAACACATCATCAGTCATGAGTTCCTTCACGCCCACGTGAGATCCAAGTCCAGCCCACCTTGAATTCCATTCACTCTTATCTTCCGCCAGTTTGGTTGGGCCATTAGTAGGTCAGATTCTTGTAGAGAACTTAAGCTTGCAATAAATCTTTATGCTCATTCGAACTGCCTGGATTTTCTGATTTTCCTGGGGCTTGACAGTTGTTAAGTGAATCTGGAGCTGGAGAAGACTCCTGCAAGTCCCCTGGACTGCAAGGCGATCAAGCCGGCTGGTTCTAGAAAAGATCAACCCTGCCTGCTCTTTAGAAGGCCAGATCCTGAAGTTGAAACTGCAGTTCTTTGGCCACCTAATGAGAAGGAAGGATTCACTGGAGAAGAGCCTGATGCTGGGAAAGATGGAGGGCAAGAGAAGAAGGAGACGACAGAGAAGGAGGTGGCTGGATGGAGTCCCTGAAGCAGCAGGCGTGAGCTTAAATGGACTCCAGAAGATGGTAGAGGACAGGAAGGCCTGGAGGAATGTTGTCCATGGGGTCGCGATGGGTCGGACACGACTTCGCAACTAACATCAATAAGTGAATTTGGCTCTTCCCCCCCCCCTTGACTTTGTTTGTCAGATGGTCGCAAAAGGGGATCACATGACCCCGGGACACCGCAACCATTATAAATATGAGCCAGTTGCCAAGCGTCTGAATTTTCATCACGTGACCGTGGGGAGTCTGCAACGGTTGGAAGTGTGCAAATTGGTCATAAGTCACTTTTTTCAGTGCCTTTGTAACTTCAGTCACTAAACGAATGGGTTGTAAGTCAAGGACCTTCTGTATTTAGCCAAAGAGGCAATTCCCATCAAAACGCTGAACTGGGTTGCGTCGTCCAGGACATGTACAGTTTGATTTTTTTTTTTTTTGATCCCGTCTTCGTTCTGACACACACGTGTCTCCTGTTTCATATTAAAGGAAGAGCTGCCTCTAGGGAATTCTGGGGATTACTCTCAGATCTTTTTCTCAAGTATCCAGCGTGCTAGATTCTCTGCAGATGGAGCTCTCTCTTTGCCTCCTCACCAAGAGTTCCCATGCAGAGGAAATAAACAGTTTTTAGTGAATGTCTATCAATCTCCCTCTTGACTTCGTAAGGTTTCCGTCAAATTAGCGTCTTTGCTTTGCAGAGTTCACTCGGTTTAACCATCATTTCCTGTCTGGAGAAAGAAGTTTTAAATTTTATTTATTTAGCCTATGGCAAGAGGTTTCCAAGTTTACTTCTATCGCCCCGGCTTTTCTCCCAAAGAGATCAGCCCAGACCACCAGCGCGAAAAGAGGCAGGATTCGAACCAGGAATCCCTTCTTCCAATTCTTTGTGGTCAAAAAAATCTGTTTATTCTTTATACGTTGACCCTCAGCAATTCTTCCAAAACAGCTGAAGAAAGGAAAGAGAAATGACTTAGATTCTCTAACCATGACACCATCGAGTATCACTCAGGAAACAAAACAAACTTCAGCCTTTCTCCAAATATCCTGGTTCCCTGAAGGGCCATAGAAGCAAGCTTAAAATGCAGAGTTCCCAAGCATCAAAGTTTAAGGCACCCCCAGATTCAAATTCTGCTCGCTGTCTAAGATAGTAGCTGTGGACATCAGACTTTTTGGGCATCCACTAAGCCAGTGCTTCTCAGCCTTGACAGCTTTAAAATGGGCGGACTTCAGCTCCCAGAATTCCCCAGCCAGCATACATGGACTTCGAGCTGGGTGACTTTGGGCCAATCGCCAGGTGACAGTGAGTTCTAGTCTTGCCTTAGGCAAGAAAGCTGGCTGGATGACATTGAGTAATCACCAGGCGGCGGTGAGTTCTAGTCCTGCCTTAGGCAAGAAAGCTGGCTGGATGACATTGAGTAATCACCAGGCGGCGGTGAGTTCTAGTCCTGTCTTAGACAAGAAAGCTGGCTAGATGACATTGAGTAATCGCCAGGCGGCGGTGAGTTCTAGTCCTGCCTTAAGCAAGAAAGCTGGCTAGATGACATTGAGTAATCACCAGGTGACAGTGAGTTCTAGTCCTGCCTTAGGCAAGAAAGCTGGCTGGATGACGTTGAGTAATCGCCAGGCGGCGGTGAGTTCTAGTCCTGCCTTAGGCAAGACAGCTGGCTGGATGACATTGAGTAATCACCAGGCGGCGGTGAGTTCTAGTCCTGCCTTAGGCAAGAAAGCTGGCTGGATGACATTCAGTAATCACCAGGCGGCGGTGAGTTCTAGTCCTGCCTTAGGCAAGAAAGCTGGCTGGATGACGTTGATTAATCACCAGGTGGCAGTGAGTTCTAGTCCTGCCTCGGGCAAGAAAGCTGGCTGGATGACGTTGAGTAATCGCCAGGCGGCGGTGAGTTCTAGTCCTGCCTTAGACAAGAAAGCTGGCTAGATGACATTGAGTAATCGCCAGGCGGCAGTGAGTTCTAGTCCTGTCTTAGGCATCAAAGCTGGCTGGATGACGTTGGGCAATCGCCAGGTGACAATGATTAAGAGTAGGAAGACATTTGGTACGTGTGCCACCTTGTGTCATTGACAAAAAACTAAAGCTGGGCTATAAATACATAAAACGTTACTGTTAAGGCGTTAAAGTTGGTCCCAATGAATTCATCTTTTCTCTCGA